TAGCAAAACTCAGTCAGTGACAGGAGCACCCACTTTCCAGAGATGAAAAGAAGACAGAGAGCTTTGAAGAACTAACAAAGAAAAGGAAAGAAAAGAAAAGGAAAGGAAAGGAAAGGAAAGGAAAGGAAAGAAAAAAAGAAGAAAAGAAAAGAAAAGAAAAGAAAAGAAAAGAAAAGAAAAGAAAAGAAAAGAAAAGAAAAGTGGGCATTGCTGTAGATCTGGAAATATTAAAGAATATATAAAAATTAAGAGAATAGTAACAATGTAATGGTGGTGATGGGAACGGCAGAAATGGTTAAATGGTTATGTTGGTAGCAATGAGGATTATTGTTGCTGAGGCTGTGGTGAACATAAGGACAAGGAGTGATGGCCTGGCTTGCAGACTGTGAAGCATTTATGTTTTAGAAGTGAATTATTTGTTCCTTATCATTTTTGTATTATTCTTTGAAACCATATTTGACTTGATGAGTACCATTCATGTCGTCATATCGACCAGCCTCAGTAAAGTCAGACCATTCTCTGTACCGTTGCCTCAAGCCTATCCACACATACAGTAGGAAAAATTAGTTTAAGGAAACAATACATTGTACAAACCTAGAATATACTGGGAAAGTCAATAACAGATCCATTTTCATTTGAGAGACATCCACAGAAGATAAGATCTGTCCCAAGTGGCACTGAATACATAAAAACACACTCCAACTAACTTAACTTTTTCAAAGGAACTGGGTACTGTCTCACTATTCAAGGTGTTCAAATGAGATGGTAATATAAAAAAAGATAAATGATTGAAAATAAATTACCACAAGGTGAGGACCAGTGGTGAGAACTTTTCTACCAGAATGAATCATTATTTAATGACCAGGGCTTTTGTTATTGGTGTTGTCTTATGGACAGCACTCTGAACTTTGACCAAAATGCAAGACTGAACTCAGTTTTACCAAATGGCTATATGTGTCTGACAGGAAAACACTGAGCCAAATCTATCAAGGAAGTATATAAAAATGGTTTCTCAGCAAGCAAATAAATAAATGTCCTCGGGATTTTTTTCAGCTTGCAGACTTCTAGAGAGGGAGAAAGGGTCACATACATTTCCATTTACTCATGTGAAACTCACTAAAGTGAGCAGGAGAAATGAGGCTTCTTCAACATCTAAACAATGTCCTGGGCTTCCTGGCATTTACTAATATCCCGATTGGTTAATAATTAAAAAGAATACAAAGCATCAAATTGTGTACAATAAAATCACAACGGAGTATCTGCCACCAAGAAACAAAATCCATCATATTCCACAGATTTTGGTGAAAGAATGGCCCCCAATTCCCTTTGAGACCACAAGAATTATTTCTTCATTTTTTCAGAGATCATGGCTTCTCTGTAAATAATCCTTTATAGAAAAAGAATGTCTATTTTTATTCTGTCTTCTGTCACTTTGGCATGTTATAGACCCAATCAAAGTTTGTCAAAGAAAAATAGTCTCCTTTTCAAAAGTGAATAAAATGTTCATTTACTTTGGGTAAATTTCCGCCTTCAATTCGACCATCTGGATCTAAATTAAGGTACCCTACTTTGAACATGGGTGTGCACACCATCTGGCTACCCAAAAGCGGCAATTACTTCAGGTAAATGAACATTTTGCCTAATTCTAAGCAAGTGTATTCTCCTATAAGAGACGATGGCATAAATACACACCCCTTTTATCTGCCTGCTGCACATCTACTTGGGAAAGAGTAAGTAAGTGTTCTGACTAAAGGTGATAATTTATTATATGTGTGCAAACATCTTAATTTGAAGGTAAGTTGCTATTTCCAGTATTCAACAAGTGACAGGCTTTTTCTTAACCAACTGAATAAGTAAGAATGGAAGATATGCCCATGATTAAGGGATCTTGGGTTTCATTGAGAAGTTTGTCTACCATTTGGTAAACACAGTCTTCCCTGTAGGGCAGACCCAGGCGCTCCCCAACACGTAGTGGAGGTTAAAATTTCCCAGGTCAAAGGTACACAGCACAGCTCAGCACACAGGCTAATCTTCCCTCGCTGAAGTTTTTTCTTACTGCTGGGGAGGTTGGTGAACACCTAAAAAGTCATCACTCAGGAGTGTTAGGCAGGAAGACTATGAGCTGCAGGCCAGTCTTTCCTTTGTCCTGAGACTCTTTCTCAAGAAAACAAATGAAAAGGAAATTCCTTCTCCTGGATCTCCGAGAAAGGAGACAAAGAATAAGACTGATCAGATAGTGATGAGCTGCTGCTTCCAACAGGCTAAACAAAGTAAGGAAGCTGTGGGGTGGCTCTTCTAAGTATTTCAAGTTATTCAGTGTAACTACTGTTGGCTGATTAAATATTTGTTTTCATTACAGAAATTATCCTATAATTAAATTGGCAAAAATGATGATTAACTAAAGATCAAGATATGTAATCATTAATCAAATGAAAATTCTGTTTGCATCTGTGTCCTTTTAGAAAGTGGGCTTTTAAATGCCAATTTACATTGAATTTTTAGTACAAAATCATTATCAATAAAAGGCCAGCCTTGGCTGAGTTCCTAATATTGGTCAGCTTTAAATCCTCTAAGTAACTATAGTAACAAGAACAACAACAATAGCTAATGTATGGAATGTTGGTATACTTATGAAATTATTAGATTATTTTTGCCTTCTCTACCCCAGACATAAAAGCCAGGAAATTAGAATATTCACATGGCTGTTGGGGGTAGAAGATAAAAACTTTCTCTAAGATGGTATTTAGAAATAAATCCATCCTGGGATTTCCCAAACATTGGCTCCTGCATTTCTGTTGGAAAGCATGTGTGCATCAGGTTAAACTTCCAGCCAAAGTATTTACATCTCTTGGGAAGACCAAAGGAAGAAGTCTGAACACAAACATGGACTGTGGGTACAAGAAATCCGTAACAGGGCAAGTGGAAACATCTGGTCGCTTTTAGAGTCCTCTTAATTTGAAAGCACTGACCAAAACAAGCTGAGTTCTGCCAAATACATCTTGGCATGGCTTAAGAAAAAAAAATACAGAATTTGAGAGGGAGTTTGTCTTTTTTTCTCACCACAGTAAGATGTGTCGGTGAGGATGTGCAACTCTCTCTATTGACACTTCAACATGATGAACCTGTTTCCAAGCATAACATGCAAATCTGCTTTTACTGTGCCTTTACTGCGCATTTTATATCATTGTGGGCTTTTAAAAAAATATGTTTTTAAGCTGTAATCTGTGCTAGAGGTAGTGGTGGAGAAGGGTTTAAACTATGCATCCCAGATCTTGGGTGTTAGAAAATGAATAATTTATGTATTGACGTATAGACAGTTGTACCTACCACACAGCTGCTAACACAGGGAGTACTTTCTGTGGCATTCCCTTCACAGCAGTCTACAAGTTATAAAACTTTGATACTCGTCCACGCTACAGGGAGATTTTCCCAGCCTCTAACACAGTAACTGTTTCTGAGCACTTCCAAGCACCAGGAGCTCTGGTCCAGGGCTGGGCAAACCAAAGTTCAAGTTCCGGTTCTCTGTTGACCTCAGGTGCCCTGTGCTGAGCTGAGCCCCAGTGTCCTGGTGTTAGGAGGCTCACTGAGGAAAGAGGCGGCTGTGCCTCATTACTTTACTAATGACCAGTCTACCTATAGGTAACGATTTCATTTGCTACTTCACTCTGGCTGTTCATCTGCCCTACAGTCATTTAATGAATTGAAGTTATTTGAAATGCAAAATGAAAACAAGACTCATTCATACATTCATTCAACAGTATAGGTGGAAGCTGACCACAGGACACTCGTTTGAACTTTGAAGCACTATATGACAGGCCTGGCCTTGGGTGAAGTGCTTTTCAAGGCCATATTGATCGATCCTATAATGGAGAGTGGGACTATTATTATCACCAAGTTAGACTTTAAAATATGAGCTCTGGGGCCAAATTATCTAGGTCTCACTTTGTGATCTAAGTCAAACTATGACTTTGCAGCTCCTCCGTTTTCCCACCTGTAACACAGACAGCGCTGACAGCTACACGAACCCCATAGGGATCTGGTGAAACTTAGTTCACCCACCGGGAGTGCGCCATCAACGCTAGCAGCAGCTGTCAATCATTACCAAGCACCGTCAACTTCGACCCTTTCCTCAAACTCTCCCCACAGCTATTAGAACTATGAAGATCTGGCCACGGAGTTGCTGGTTCTAAAGAAGGCCCCCGCCTCACAAAAAAACAAAGAGAATGTAACCCCAATCTAAAGTCAGCAAAGGCATTGGAGACTGGCTGCTAGCTTTCTCCCCCTTCCGGGTGTAGTCATTTCTATTGGCAGCCGCTTGAGGAACCTAATGGAGACCGGAGACATCACAGTGCCTTAGAAGTCCCTCTCTCTCTCTGTGATTTTGACCATGGCAACTGCAGTTCCAGGTCCCAGCCCCCACCCCCTGCTTTCCCCTCGAACTTCTCTTTGTGATCCAAAATCTCAACTTGCAATTTGGTAAAAAACTTCACAAAGCCAAACCCTGGGCTGTGTTCGGGGTCTCCCAGGAGGACAGAGAGGTACTTATTCACAGCCAACGGAGGTGCACCTGTTCAGGAGGAGGGGGGCGTGTCTGTCCTGGCCTGATAGCTGGGTTAAGCGGCTACCTGCTCAAAGTTGTTGGTTTTGTTGGTGGTGGTGGTGATTTTTTTTAAAACTTGTTATTTAGATAACCAGCAATCTTAAGGGGAAAACGGCAAAAGCCCAGATGGGCAGGTCAAGAGGAGCAAGATTTGAACTACAGGAAGAGGCAACATTCATCATCTTTTAGTGTTGCTGAGTTTGTGGACTTGGCAACAGTGAGAGGCTAGACATCAGGGAGAGCCCTCGAGTTCCAGAGGACCCTCACCTTGACTTCCTTCCCCCAACCCCGGGTTTCTAGATATTGGAAGCCAACGGGGTCCCCAGGTCGCCTGCGCTTTCTCAGCAGTGCGAGCCGCCTGGCGGGGTGGGGCAGCGCGGGGCACCGCCTCCCTCCATACCTTCTCTCCCCGTGGAGCACGTAGGAGCTGCGGAAGAAGCCGAGAAGCTCGTTCTCTATCAGGGCATTGTAGATAATCTTTAGGTTGTAATTCCTCTGCGCGTCCAGGGTTCTATTCAGCACCACCACCAAGACCTGGGTTTGTGGGTAGAGGAAAAAGCCTGCAACCGGGACAGCCCCGAACGCCCGGTCCTCCGCCACTTGCACCTTCTCCACCGCCACCCGGGAGGCGTGCAGCACCACGTAGCGGGTGGCGTTCCGGCACGCGATCTCCACGTTGACCTCCCCGGAGAAGGTGAAGTTCTCCATGAAGGCGGTGAGCATCAAATTGTAGTGCAGCGGCTTGAGGTGGCCGGATAGGCGCAGCTGCGTCCAAGGCTGCCACTGCTCGGGCTCTTCCTCCGACGGCGGTAGGGTAGACGGGGTCCCCGGGGTGTCCACCTCGCCGGTCTCGCGCTGCGAGGATTCCCCACCAGCGTGGTGGTTGCGCCGGGCGGATCCTGGGTGGCTGTTGTTGCCCCCAACGCCGCCGCCGCCGCCGCGCTCGGGGAAGCCCCCGGGGCCACCGTCGGAGCCCGGCACCGCCGCGCTGGCTCCACACTCGTCGAAGCGCAGGCTGAGCAGTACGGCCAGCATGGTGACCGCCAGGAGTGCCACGATGGACACGGCAAAGGCCAGCACGAGCCGCTTGTGTACCGCGATGTGGCGCTCGGTGGTGCGGGGTCGCACTCCCACCGAGTCAGCCCACGGGTCCGAGAGCCCCCTGCCGCTTGCCCGGAGCGCGGCGGCGGCATCGTCTTCTCCCATGGTAGCTGCAAAGGGTGAGCTGCTCTTCTCGGCCCCCTCCTCCTCCTTCTTCTTCCTCTTCTTTTTCTTCTTCTTCTTTTTCTTCTCCTCCTCTTGCTCCCCCCTCTCGCCGTCCAGGGCCATCACACCGCCTCCTCCTCTTCCCCCGCCCCCTCCGACACCCCCAGCGGGCGGGCCACCCGGGCCACCGCCAGCGCAGTCATCGGAGAGCGCACGCGGGCGGAGGGCGCAACGCCGGCTGGGACCCTAGGGAGGCCAGCCCGGGTTCTCCGGAGACAGGCTCTGGTGGCCGGCGACGGCCGCGACGACCCCCGGCAGCCCCGCCTCTCTCCGGACACCAGCGGCGGAACGCGGGGCAATCAGCTCTGGGACGCGCCCAACTTGGGGAGCTTGTCGCTCGCAGGGTGCGCGCTACTCGTCGGGCTGGCACGGGGTGCCCGGGCACACGCCGCCCCCGCCCCTGTGCGCCTGCGGCTCGCGTGTCCTCCCGGGCGCCGCACTCTCCCAGGCTGGTTGCGGCGACTCTCGCACCGGTCCTCGCCCGGGAGGATGGAGAGCGACCGAGCTGGCAGGCAAGTTAGGGCTTCGCCCAGCTCCCCGCACTCCGGCAGCGTTTGGTCTTCTGGGTGGGATGAGCTCGCAAAGACAGTTGCGGCGGCGGCAGCCCAGAAGGCGCCGGAGCCTTCCACCCCGCAGCGGGAGAGGAGAGGATGGACCAGGGAACCGAGGGAAGGACCGGAGTGAGCCAGCCGGAGGAAGTCCCACGGCCGCGGAGCATCCGTCCTGGAGAAGCCTTCCTCCACCTTGGACACTTTAAGCGGTGGTGGCGGTAAAAGGCATGAGGTTGCAGACTGGACAGCGAGCCTCCCACGTCCCGATGTTGTGCCTCTGCCCTCCGGAGAAGACAAGTGAAGAAGTGTCCCGCCGGGGCATCCACTTCAGGTAGATGAAGGTCTGAGCCGTGTCCCCGGGGGGAGAAACGAAGTGCGTGTGTGCCAGCGCGTGTGCATGTGTGCGCGCGTGTGTACGCGCGTGTGTGTGCGGGTATGTGTGTGTACACGGGCTCCGGGTCTAGATTGCCAAAGCTACTCCAGCTGCATTCAAGGACTAAAACTCCCTGAGAAAGGAGAGAGAGAGAGCGCGAGAGACAGCGAGCGAGAAGGCTGGGAAGGCGGGAGGGAGGGGAGAGGTTGAGCGGCAGAGGCAGGCGCTGGGAGATTAGAGAGCTTTTCTCCGCTCTGTCACACCAGACACCCACAGCCACAGAGGGGGTTGCTGAGCTGCCTGCAAGAGTACATTGTAAATCTTCCGCGCAACAAGCCCGGCAGTCACCCCTCTTCCGACTCCTTAGCCCCACTGCGGTTCCCCAGAGGGACCTCTGGAGCCTTGGGCTATTAGCATCAAGAGCAAAGGAAGAGCCTGCTGGGGAGAAGCGGCAGTGTCAGATCACACATCAAGCTCGCCAGAGGATTTGGAGGATTGTATGTAAATTGAAATAAATTCTCCAAAGCCTGGCTGCATATATTATAATGGTGTCGTGTGGCCAGGTGTGCACTACAGAAATAATGGCTAGCAATGAAGCGGCAGAGTCCTACGTAAGTGGAGACCAAAGGAAAGATACAGATTCCCCATGGAATACATTTTATTTTTAGATTCGGGGAAAAGGATGAAATGCCTACAGTACAACATTCAAAAACCGAGTGTAAGGAAAGCTGGGGGCGGAGGCCCCATGACTGTGGGTTTTACTAGAGCAGTGAATAAATGCATCCCATGATTGGTCAGTTTGTCACTTTCAGCTTAGCCGCAATTATTTTTTGTAACTCCGCTGTGTTATCATCAAAATCGTTTAAACTTCATGACAACAGTTACGAACCCCAGTGTTTATTGACAGAAAGAAGCGTCAAAGCACAGTGCGTAGCCTGCTGATTGGCTTTGGACTCCGAGTTTGTTGGAGTTCTGGATTATAGTGGAGAGTAGTCAGCTCTCTAAACTTCAAAATGTGTCTAAAAAAGTTGTAGCCAGAACAAGGCTCAGAAGACAGCCACCTGGAAGGTGACAGTCGAACAATTAGTCGTCTCTGATGTTTAACAAAGTATGTAGCTCGGTCAAAAGAAGAAGAAGAAATTCCTCTTGACGTGTGTCTTTTGTCTCCTTAAATCCAGACTTCCCTTAAGGAGTCCTGCCTGTCATTATTTTCCTCATAAAAAGGAAATGCTATTGGCTTTGGGATACTGAAAAAAAAATTTAAAATATTATTTCAAAACCTGGTCAGTAAGAAAAGCCCAATTACACAACATGAACTTTAATCGGGGAGCCACAGAGAGCACAGCCTTGCTTGAGGAAGCCCTTTTCCCTTTATCCCTAGATGGAGTACTTGCTCAACACCATGTATTCTAAATGTCCACTGGCATCATCATAAATGATGATGAAAATAGGTGCCAGGGTGGGTATTTTTAAGCATGTTGTATGTGGGCCGTCAGTAACAAACCAAGGGAAATGCCACATTCTGTTCCAGTTACTTTTTTCTGCTCTGTTTTTAAGCATCTTTGTTCTTGCTTTTTCATATGTATCTGGTTATGTGCATTTTAGGAGTTGAGGGTGCATTTAGGGGTCAGGTTGTTTACCCAGAATGAGGAAACATAGTTTAGCAAGCCAAAAGAGCATCTGACCCTCAAAGAGGTCAGTCACCATACTCCTCTGTACTTTAGGAATCTACTCTAGTTATTCAGGATGACTGGCCTAGGGGACACAGATTACCAGCAGCTTCTAGAATGACCTGGGAGTCTAAGAACCATTACCTAATGAAGAGTCTACCATCTAAGGGGTCTAGGAGACCTTTCTCTCCCTCTAATATGTTACTCAGGAAGACTCCAAGAAGGCTTTTACTGTGCATGTAACTCCTCAAAGTCTCTGTACTTGTGAAAATTACTGCAAGTTATTTCTCAAAGCCTGCAATTTAAAAAAAAAAAAATCCGCTTGCCAATTAGAAAAGTTTCTCCTGACTGATTAAATTAGCAAATGGATTGTTTCTGAGACTCAAGTGAAGCAAATTCAAGTTTATTAACATAAAGTGGGCACAACTTATTAGCTCATTGATTACCCTTTATAATGTCGTTTTACTCAATAAACTCAGTATCAAAGATCCAGTAAGCAAATATTTCTTCCTCTTTTGTTAATGTAGCGGTCATTTCTTTTTCTTTTGTAATTTCTGAAAGTATACAGAATCTGAGAAATTAGCATTGGCAGGATACATTCCTGTATTATTTCCCTAGAAGATGTTCATTCTACTTCAATCCAGAAAACAATGAGGAGGCAGCAAAGTTTCAGGTTGTGTACCTAAGAGGAATAGTGAAGGAGTCAACCACTAATACTTGTTTTAAAAGTTGTCTTTAGTGTTTAAGCCTCTTGATTAGAGAAAGGCTTGCCTCTCACATGCCATCACCGTGCAGTGCTTTGCATAAGGGAGACGCCTTCCCAAGCGTCTCACCCTCAGCAGGAACCATTTATTTACTATAAGAAGCTCATGATTATTTTCTTTAGCTAATAAATGTCATTTTTTTAAAAAAATGTTGTCCATATTTGACCCAGGGACTTGCAAAAGTGAAAATAATCTGAATGTTCAAAATTCATGAAGGCAACCGAAAGTTGATTTTTAATGGAATCTGCACTTTGGTCCTGTAGATAATCAAAATGAACTGTCTTCCATGGAGTGCTGGCGTCAGGGTCTCTACTCTTGGACTGTTTAAACGTGAACTGCTTTGATTTCCCTTTCACACTGATTGGTATGTACAAGCACAAACTTTAGTGCCTTTGTATACTCGGCTCCTGAAAGTGTGATTAGCATTTTCATGTCTCAACACCGCTTGACTCAGAAGAAACATCTAAGTCCCCACAACCCTCCCCACCTTGTGTTATCCTGGCCCACTGATTTAATCAACTCCATTCCTTGGTGTGGGAATAATCCTAGAGAGTAGGAGGAGGTAGCCTTGGAGGTCTTGTGGCTCTCACACTGTCAAGAGGTTTTGAATCTTCTCCATGAAAGACAAACAAAATTTGAGCCTGGGAGACAAGCTCAGTCAATAAAGTGCCTTCTTTGCAAGCATGAAGACCAGAGATGGATCCCCGGGCCTAGGTTAGCTGGGCATGGTAGCTCCTAGTTGTAATTACAGTGCTCAGGAAGCAGAGAGGAGAGAGTCCAGGGCCTCTCCGGCCTTTCAACCTGGTCTACTTGGCAAGTTTTTGGGCAATGAGAGACACTGTCTCATGGAACAAAAATTTAAAAAAAGAGCATACCGACAGGTGAAATGTGTCTGAAGAACAACACCTGAGATTAATCTCTGGTCTCTACACACATGCACACACATTCACATGCATGTGCATGCCTACACACACACACACACACACACACACACACACACACACACACACGCATGTGCAGGAAAACAACATAAAATTCCATTTAAAGCCTTAGGGAGTAAAATGACTTTATAAAAACACTGTAGTGGCTAAAACGTAGGAAACAGTAAACAAACCAACCTGCTGTGCTATTCAGGCAGTCAAAAAGACTGGTGGGCTTAGGACAGAACTAGGTTTCTGAAGACCTCGCACAGCTGAAGACCCTTCTGACCATGGAAGTCAGAAATCCCTGTTTACCAGCCGAAGTGGTGCCTCCATGTGGCAACAGAAAAACAGCATTTTTGAAATCCAAAATAGTGATCATTTGATGAAAAATTTAAATTGGGCAAATCCATACTGTGTCAAAGTTATTAATAATCTTACATTGTACAATTCAAATTTTTTATAACGTCTGACCTGAGTCTTTTCTAAAGAGTTTCATACAGAAAAGTCGCTTATCTACTTATCTAGTAAAACCTTTCTCAAGATCTTGAAGATCAAGGATAAGATTTTTCAAAAACATACTGATATTTCATGAAGTATACAGTTTGCCAACTAAAATTAAAACCTTAATTCATCTGTCACTTGTGTGACTTTTGTTATTTAAAGTGATTAACCTGATTGAAATGGTATCTGAATATGCCTATGTCTTTTTAAGCCACCTCAAACCGCTGAAGTTTTTTTTTTTAAACAAATGCCTAAAGTACCAATATATTAGCACACATTATGAATCTTAGGGAAGTCTTACAGTTACGCTGAAGGGAAAACAGAATAAGTCTGAGCACAAAATGAGCCTCTCTAGATGGCAAATATAAGAAAAAGTATGACTATAATCTATGATAAAATTCCCAGTGCCAGCATTCAGGGTTATATGCAGACGAGAGAGTATGAAGAATTCAAGAAAGTTCTATTTTTCTTTGGGGGTTTCTACTGCTAGGTTTAAACTCTTCAGTGTTCACTCTGGGCTCTTTGGTTTATGATCTCTATAAGAAAGCTCCATAAAAAGCAAAGCATGTATCATGGAAATGTTTATAGTGTATTCATGAGAGCTGCAAAGATAATATATACCAAAGTCTACAAACAGAATAGAAATTGGTTAACTTTCTAGAGATTTTTTCCATTGAACTACTCCATTTGTCCAGTAGCTGAAGAAATAGAATAGCAAATTTGCAAATAGAGTAGCCACTCAGAATACAAGTTTCCCAAATGCTTGCTTTTAGGTACATATGGGAGGGAAAGTAATAATAATAATAATAATAATAATAATAATAATAAAGCTAGCAATTGCTTTGTGCCATGTTACTTGTTTAAGTGTTTTGTCCTAGTTCATGTAATCATGAAAACAGCTACCACGTAGACAATGTTGTTGCTTCTCCCATTTGGAAAAATGAGGAAACTGAGGCCCAGACCAACCAAGTATCTGAGGACAGAATCATTTAATTAGTAAATGGAGGAGTTGGAATTCAAAACCAAGCAGTGTCCCTCCATTACCTGAACATTTAACGTTGTGGCATACTGTTTCGCGTAAGGTAAGCCAAATGCAAACTATCCAGTTGTGTAACTGATATTTGTTACATAAATTATGA